ATTTTTATCCCTTCACTAATATTAATGAAAATTTAAGAAACCTGTTAGCTAGCTCTTCTGCTGATACTACCGTAAAATTATAGGACCTTCAATCATTTAAATGCGCACATTCGTATGATCATCACAAAGACAAAGTATTTATCGCTATCTTCGTTTTTCTCTTGTAACAAATAATAATAAATTTTTTTTCAAATGCTGATAGGTGCAACAAGTGGAATGGCATTTCATTGAGCCTACCATTATGCTAACCGCATCTTTTGATAAAACTGCGGTTGTATTTAATAGTCGTTCGCCTAAAAATGTCGCATCTTGGAATCTAGGAAATACAGATCCAGAATGTGTACGTTGGGATCCATTTTCGCCTCAATATTTCTACGTGAGTACAGAATCTGGGTTGGTTTTGTGTTTTAACGCGAGAAACTCTAACAAAATAGCACCGGTCTTCACATTACATGCATGATGATGCTGTAACATCTTTGGATGTGAATCGACTGGTTAGATTACTGGATCAACGGATAAAATGGTTATATTAAGGATATGAAACCAACAATTGTCGCAAGTCGAGATTTGGGTGTGGTACGTCATTTTCGCTATCAGAAAATCGTTATTAATTTATTTTTTATTTTTTTCAATTTATTTTTTTAACACGTTTTTTCTGCGATTTGCATATTGAAGGAAAAAGTTTTTTCTGCGCAATTTTGTTTAGACTTACCCTTTCATCTGGCTGTAGCTGGTTCAGAAGGGAATGTAAGAATTTGGGATTAATGCGTCTTTCAAAGACAACATACATACCGTAGATGTACGTTTAAAATTTTTTTTTTATAACTTTATTCAATCAATATTTTGATATTTCCATATTTTGCAGAAAACTGTTTCCGTTTTACATGAAGGAAGTGAACATGATGATGACGAAGATAATGATAACGAAATAGATAATGATAGCGGAGATGATGTATAACGCGCAAAGTTGTATCGACCATAGATTTATCGACTCGGCCCGTTTTTTATATATCAAGATATATATATATATAATTATAAATAGAGCCGATACGTATCACCTGATTATGCACAACTCCTAATGATTACGATAATAATATTGTAGAAGATGACGAATCAAGTGAAGAATAAAGCGAATTTGGAATTATAGATCAATACAAAAAAATTCTTTATGAAGTATAACCTATTTATTGTTTTTATCAAATTAAATTATGCAGCATAATAAATAAAAATATCTAATTTGATATTGATACTATTCTTATATAGGCGTTTGACCTTCTTGAAAAGTCTTATAACCTTCCGCAACAAAAAAAATATTGAATCAATATTTCACGTCAATTCAAGAGATGATAGACGACATAAAGAACCAGAACCAAGCGAAAAACCTCCAAGAACCTGGAACTCACGAAATAAATACTTTTTATTTTTTGGTAAACTTAGAAGTTAGGTAATAATAGTTTACCAAATAAATTTCGAATTATTTCGAATAAACACTTTCTTGACGCAATAAAAATTTACGATATCGATTGTTAAGTTAGGTAATAATTGTTTACCATTTTCTTGACGCAATAAAAAATTTTATATTATTTAATTTTATATAATGATAATTTTTACCGGTTAAGTAAAATCTCAGATTTAGCATAAAGTAATGTCGAAATACTAAAGTCATGCCAAAATTTTAAATAGTGTCGAAATGTCTAAATTAGCTAATTAATAGATTTATCTTATGTGAGATACAGTATACTTTTAAAGAATTTATTCTCTTTTATAATTAGGGTTAAAAAAAATTTTTTTACCAATTCATTTAACTATCATAATCATTTACAGTATCATCTCTATATTGTATGTCGCCAAAAGAAACCCCGACAATTTAAATATAGTCTATATTTAAATTGTCGGGGTTTCTTTTGGCGACACTCATATGAGAGTTGCTAAAAAGACAATTGTGTGTATATTTTACATATATCCTGTTATCTGTTATTAATTTAGATATTTAGTCATATAATATCTATTTAGTCAAATATTTAGACATCAGTCAAATTTAGAATTTTGACATTTTCGACAAAAAATAATGCAATGTTTAAATATTTGACTAAACAGTTAACAACACTAGTTTTGGACATATGTCCAATTGACTTTGAAAACAATTAGATAGTAGCCTTGTCAACACTGCGTCTAACCCATCTTCCCATGAAATTATGGTGATTTTACAATAAGAAATATCAAAACAATAGTAAAATGACGCACTTCATAATTTAGTCAAATACTCAAATTTCATAAATTCGCCGCAATGAAAGTGACTGGCAATATTTTTCGAAGGCATATTGTTTATAATTAAATATTTTTGTACCGTATGTACATACGTACTTATCTGTTATATATTACGTATGGGTAAAAAAATGAATTATCATAAAAACTAGCTACCTAAATGATTAATTTAAGTTACTAAATAAAAATGTTCGGCGCCTCAAACGTTATTCTGTCTTTTTAACCTTGTTTTAATAGTTAAAATATATATGACAAATGGTGTGCTTTAACAAGAATTAAATTTGTAGAATTTATTAACGTTAAATCTCTTGTATATTACTTAAAATTTTACTAATTGATTCTAACTTCATGTTCTAAGTAAACTTGTTTTAACACATCCCCAATTTTGTTATTCGCACCCCCTGTATATCAAAATTTTTAAACTTTGAGCGATGTTATCTTGACAACCACTAAATTAATTTTTTAGTGAACTTTTTTTTATTCGAATCTGTAGAATTCAAATAAAAAAATTCATCGAATTTGGCTTGGTGGGTGTTGAGATATCTTCACTCAAATTTTTAAAAAATCCAAACCGTCTATCAGAATAAGAGCTGCACCAAATTGTTATTAAACTTTGAGTGAAGATATCTCGACATCCACCAAGCCAAATTCGATAAAAATTTTTTATTTAAATTCTAAAAAAAGGATTGAATTTGGCATTATAGGTGTCGAGATAATTTCACTTAAAGCTTTAAAAAATTAAAAACATCTATCAAAAAGAAGAGCTACGCCAAACTTTTTTTAAACTTTGAGAAAGATATCTCGACACACCCACCAAGCCAGATTCAATGAACCTTTTTTTATTTAAATTATACGAATACGTAAAAGTCAAATAAAAAAAGTTCATCGAATTTTGGCTTGGTGGTTGTCGAGATATCTTTACTGAAAAGTTTGGCGCAGCTCTTCCTGATAGATGTTTTTAATTTTTTAAAACTTTGAGCAAAGATATCTCGACAACTACCAAGTAAAATTCGATGAACTTTTTTATTTGACTTCTACGTATTCGTATAATTTAAAAAAAAAAAAAGGTTATCAAATTTGGCTTGGAGGGTGTCGAGATATTTTAGCTCAAAGTTTAAGAAAAGTTTGGCGCAGCTTTTATTTTGATGGATGGTTTGAATTTTTTAAAACTGAGCAAAGATATCTCGACAACCACCAAGTAAAATTCGATGAACTTTTTTATTTGTATTCGTAAAAAATGCGCGGCAGATCCTCGATTTTGATTGGCTAAGAGCGACGATCAAAACATTAGGCCGGAATTATTCATAATTTTACTAATGAAATCGCAGCCGCCCATTAAGTGAAAATTGTTCCTGGGCCAATTTTACCATAACGCGGGCTTATTTTTTAAATATTTCTATTTTTGTAATGAAAAAATTAAAAAGCTGATTCCGGCCGGAAATTAGGAAACAATTGAAGATCCTCGGCCGTTAGCCAATCAAAATCGAGGATCTGCCGCGCATTTTTTGTGCGGCACCTAGGGTTAATTCTTTTTGACAGACATCTCGACAACTACCAAACCAAAATTCAATGAACTTTTTTTTATTTGAATTCTACTGGTTCATAGAATTTAACTTAGTGGTCGTCAAGATAAAGTCGTTCAAAATTTGATATACAGAATAACAAAATTGGGGTACGAATAATAATCGCCTATCTTTAAACTCAAAACTCAAACTTTACTAAAAATTTGAAATGTAAAAAGGTTGAGTTTGATCTGAAATTCAAACCAGACTCAAATTAATTAAAGTTGATCCGAGTTCGGTTTGTATCTTTTTTTTCTTTTCTTCGTTGGGATCGTCAAATTTCTATAATTCTATTGACGTAATCCCTATTATGGTTATAAGGAGTGCATTTTCAAAAACTCATGTAACACTTCTGATATAGATTAACGGAATCGACCAAAGGGGACCCTCCTTTCTGACATAGGTTGTGGGTTCGATTCCGCCTGGTAACAATGTTAATGCCCGTACGACGTTGCCCTTGCTGGAAATATCAGA